CCCCCCCCCCAGTAGTTTTCTATCTTTGAAAAACATAAAATGGAAATTTCTGTTTCTCAGGAAATATGAAAACATCTAAACTCCTGACACTGGGCAGCTAGTTAGAAGCAAGTATTTAGTACACCTGCTTTTATGACATATGAAATTATTTATTAAGATAAAAGCATGATTTATAATTTGTCTGTGCTCTTTGTTCAATTGTATTATTTGGAACAACGTGTAAATTGTGACAATTTGGATCTTCCCTGTATTGGTTCAAGAAAAAAATACATTATCAAGAACTTAGTTTTTTGCCCTTGCTGCTGTGGGGCTCAGCAAGTCAGCTTTTTGCTGTAGAGACATGAATTCTGTTAGCTGCAGGTCATAAGACCACGCATTTTAAACAGTGTCTGTTAAAAAGATACAAAAATCTAATTTAAAAAATGTGGTCTTAACCATCATGTGGAGAGATATTCAAGCTCTAGGGAAATACCACATTAATATGATGGAATTTTTGGTGGAGAGTTAGATTGCAGTATTGCTTTAGGACATCACCAAACTATCGGAATTGTAGAAACTGTCTCAGTCATACCATCCAATGTCTTGTCACAGATTTTTTTGTTACCGTTATTCTATGTTCCCGTTGGCTTCTGTAAGATACAAATGGAAATGTTGCTGTGGCCAGGAGGCATATAGCAGCTGATACAAAAGCTGAGAGGCGGGGAAAGCCCCCGGCATAGTCGATATGTTGGGCAGAGCCCTGGCTCTCTACTGCACGCACTGGGTTGAGCTGAGCTGTGTGTGCAGCAAGCCCCAGCCCGATGGTTTTCCCTGAGAAATACCAGTCTCTGCTGGCTCACTTGCTCACACAAATAGCAAATCTGATGCTCCCCAGCCAACAAACCTCTGCTACTGATAATGTGAACTGTTGCAAACCATGCGTATTTCAAGAGATGCAGGTTGGCTGTTTCTGAAAGTGTCTTTTGAACAAGAAACTGTATTATTGGCATGTACTGAATTCTTTGTTTTACTGGGAATAGTGCCACATATTACAAAACCGGGAAAATTGCATTCTGCAAGTTTATTGCAGATCCCACCATTACTATTCAAGATTTTCCTGGTTGTTTAGTGTCAGGTTTTTTCTTTTAATAGAATGTATTGTCTTGTTTTACAGGAGTCCATAAAAATAAAGGTCAGATGCTTTTTCAGAGCTTCTGTGTACTCATTTTGTAGATGAAGAGCAGTACGTTAACAAAATGCTAGTAATAATCCCATCATGTATATTGTTGCTAGTCTTGTTATCTGGTGTGACATGTCTGGTATCACAGTGCTTGAGAATAGATTAAGGAAGAGGAATAAAATATTCATACCATTGCTTCAAGTTAATAGCTGTTTTATTTTAGTGAAAAATTGCTTAGGCTGTATTTCACCAAGTATCTGATCTCTAGCCATTTTGCAACTGGGAGGAAGGAGAGGGTGGTGGTATTTTACTGATTTCTCTAGAGATGACAAGACTTGGGCTTGCCAGATCTCTGGCGTTTGTCAGCTTGAGTCTCTCAGTCCAAGAGTGCCATTCTTTTGAACTATTCCTCTTCAGACTATTTACAGTCTGAAGGTAATGGGCGGGCCCTCACTGCAAATTTTTAATAGGCCTATGATCTATGGAATAGTACAATAGAATTTATTATTAATCTGTCTTACTTAGCAGGTAGGCAGCTGCATGTCAAGCCTTGTGGTAAACTTTAGGTGGCTTTACAAATACAGTTGAGATAAGGCACGATGCAGTAAGTCAACACTGCGGTGTTAAAAACATGCTGTACTGTGTCTAGGAAGTATTGACAATCTACTGCTGCTGAAATGAAAGTGAAGTATTTCTGATCATTCTTAGTAGTAGGAAGATCAAAATTACATTGAGATTGTGTTGCTTATTGATTAAAGCAGATGTCTTCTAATGAGGGCAATTAAATCCCCAGTCATTTGCTTTTATCTCTTCTAGTCGTCGTCATTGGCCACTTGCTAAAAACTTTATTGTCATGCCCCAAGTAAGAATTTTTCCCCTGACAAACCATATACTCTGAAAAGTGTTTAAAATAGCCTGTATTCCAGCAATGATTAATATCAGTGATAGCAAAGCAGAAGCATTATGTTCCGTTCCATATGTTATATATCTAAATTGCTGTTAAAAACAATCTACAATGTTGTGAAAGCTTAATATATTGATTGACAATTTATTCATACAGATAGCACTGTAATGAGGAAAAATGTGAAATTATTTCTCTAGAAACTATTTCCATGGTGTTTGCTATCTGCTGCTGTGGTTACCTTAGCAATTACACGTAAATTCCTATTTTAAAAGGTTTTTTTCTCTTTAATTTTCTGTATTGAAATGCTTTTCTCTGACATGTCAGAAAAGACTACTTAACATTTTTACAACTAAAAAGTCTACTTTATTACCAGAGAAACACTTCTATGTAATTACGTTTCCAGCAACACCTTGTATTTTTAGTATTTGTTAAGAAATAATGGCAAAAACCATCTCAAGGCTCAATTTGCATACTTCTCCATTCATTTATTACAAACAACATGACTTGCCCAGATTTTCAATTGTTTCTCTGACTTTTCCTCTGGCAGCACCAAGTGAACTCTGTATTTTAAAACATAGTGGCACTTAATTTGATAAAATGTCAGTAAAGGCAAAAGGAGGCCTGAAGATGGTAAGTTCTCCCACTGTGTAGGTGGAGAGTACTTGATAATCAGAAACAATTTTCATATTAAAAAGACATTCTAAACAATTTGCATAATAAAATACTTAACAGTAACAATAAGGCTTCCTAAAAAAAATAAATATTTTTTTCTGGGGAAAAAAACACACAGTGCAGGATTTGAACTAGCGTCCTGTGGTAGTTGGAACAGATAAAAGTTTTCATTTAAAAAGAAAAACTCGAAAACTACAATGTAGCAATACAACGTTTCCTCTGTAAGATGTTGGTCAGTAATACTGCCTAACTGCATGTAATGCTTTTCTTTGGTAAATGGGGGTCAAACTGGAAAACATTTGTGCCCCAGACATCTGGAATAGTTAATCTAAATGTGAGTAGAGTGGGAATAAGGTGCACAAAACTGTTAAATACATAAATACTTTCAAAATTCTGGTCTGCAGATGCAGAAAAGGGGTGGGGTCTTGTAATGATGTGATTTAATCTGACAGCCTTCGAAGTCATCAGTGCTGTTTTAGGACCTTGTTTTCTCTAATGTCATATCAGTGTGAATGTGCATGTGTTGTGCCAGTGTAACTGAGAGAATATCTTTTTAGTTGTAGACAAATTGTTCATTGTTTTAGTGCTTTAGATAACTTCTAATAGATCACTAGGGCTTTCCACAATGGCAATAAGCAGATGTTTGTCTTTCAAATAGAGTATACTGAGTATTCTAAAAGTATACTTATAGTAAACAGTATGA